TCCTATTTCAATAACCGCATTTTAACATAACCGAGCTTTAGCATTAATAAGGTTACGATTCAAAACCTGGGTTTGTTTTCTGATGTGCTTCACTTCTAAGTTCAGTCAGCATAGAGCCAAACGACCCATAAGATCATAGGACGACTAAACGTGTTACAATCTATTTATTCACACACTAGGTTTCCACGACCCATAATTCATTTTCAAAATATATCTAGCGTTATGATATTAACAAAAATCGATTTTGATATAAAGTTTAATAGTAAAATAGATATGATCAAAACTTAGAAGAATATGAAAATACTAAAAAAAAAAAAGAAGCTAAAAACATAGTAAAATTAAGCTTAAGGAAAATAATGTTCTATACAACAAATTAGGGATATGAAAAGGTGAAAGCGATGTTTCAAACTAACAAAAATGAGAGACAAGAAGTGTAGGGATCTAGATCATGTTAAATGCATTAAAAGTGAGGATCATATGGTCATGTTGAAAGATGATGAGATCAAACAAAAGGTGGAGATTTCTTTTAAAAATTAAAAAATTAGTTAAATAATATAGACTATGGGAGCACATGGCTAGCGGTAACCTTTGAGTTAAATGAGACCGGAGGTCATAGATATATCAGTGAGATTAGGATATCTGATGTCAAAAAAACTTTGTGAAAGATGAAGATAGGAAAAGCTTTAGTACTATATGGTTTTCCAAATAGAAAATTGAAAGTGTATGGGAGAGATTGGCAATATCCTGGTCGATGAAGTTGTTCAACAAGAAGTGAGAAGAAAGAAAATACAAAATTACTAGAGCAAAATTAATGTGATACCTATTTACAAGAACAAAGGAGACAAAGAATTACATGAAATATGGAATGGTCAAACTCATTAGCCATGAGAACGATTTAGCTTGACTAAGAAATGAAATATGTGTTTCAGAAAAATTACTTTGTATTTATGTTGGGGGGGTCAACAATTGAGAGTATTTTCCTACTTAGGTGATTAATTGAGAAGTGTAGGAAGAAGAACAAAGACCTCCACATGGTTTTTATTGATTTAAAAAAAGCATACAATAGGATACCTAGAGAGTTAATTTGGTGGGTGTTGAAAAACAACTGAGTCTCTAGATGATAAATCGACATAGCGAAAGAGATGTACGAGGGAGCGCAAACTAGCGTGGTGATAACTAGTAGAGAGAAATAAAAATAGGCCTACATCAGGGGTTAGCGTTAAGCCTATATGTCTATGTTTTGGTTATGGGCGAGTACAAGATAAAGTATTATGGTTTAAATTATTCACGGATGACATAGTTTTAATTGGTGAGACTAGAAATGATGTCAACACAAGGTTAGAACTTCAAAGGGATGCCCTAGAATCTAAAGGTTTTAAAATTAGCTAAACTAAAACAGAATATATGAAATGCAAATTTAGTAATGATAGGAGAAGAAACAGCATAGTAATTAAGATTGATGGCCAAGAAGTACCTAAAAGAGATTATTTTCAATATCTAGGATCGATAATCTATGAGAAAGCAAAGATTGAGGAAGATCTGACATATAGAATTATAATTGTGTGGACGAAGTGGAGCTATACTTTCAGAGTTTTATGTTATTTCTATATACCAATGAAGCTGAAGGAGAAGTTCTTAAGGCAATTGTAAGACCAACCATGCTATATGGGGTAGAATATTTGGCAATCAAGAAATAACATATTCATTGAATAAATGTAGTTGAGATGATGATGTTGAGATAGATGAGTGACAAGAAAGGAAATGATAGAATTCAGATTGAATATGTCTGTTGTAACTTCGGGCAGCCCCAATAGACGACAAGATGATGAAAAGTAAACTTAAGTGTGCTAGCCATGAGCACCATCGACCAAGTACAACACCGGTGAGGAAGGGCTAAAAGGGTACAGATGGAAGTGGTGAGAAAGAATATGGTGATTTATGGTTTGGCTGAAGTATGACCCCTTGATAGGGCATAATGACATAATATAATTCATGTAGCCGACCTCAAATAATTAAGATAAAGTTTGGATGATGATAATTATGATACGTCTTTATGAAAAAATATTTGGAAAATATGCTTCCTTTGAATTCTAGAAAATTGTAGAGGTGCTTTTAACCATGGATAGAGACCTAAAAGGCAAAGAAGAGTATAGGAAAGAGTGAGCCACGCGAGAACATGGAGAGGGACTGCGACGATAATACCATGAAGTTGTCCAATCTTATACTTCTATATTTTTTTTTTGTCTCAAAAAACATTTATGTAAGGTCGTAGTCCTATATAATAGATGCAAGGCACATATAAAAATTCCTCTAGAAGAGGGTATTCCGATGTTGGAGAACCCTCGAATTGATCATCTCGACCTCAAGATATGTGGATATGAAGAAAAAAAAAATTTCAAATCCTGAAAATAGGCACTTGTAATAAGTTATCCAAACCATCTATTTCCAAGATTCTCAAAATCTTTGTAGATATGCTCGAGTTATATCAGTTATGACATTTTAAATGTATTTGGTGATTCTAAAAAAGGAAACCAAAATATTAGATGGATAAAATATTTTTTGTCTTTTGCCTTTATATAGTTTTTAAAGACCTAGATCGGTGGGGTCCACAGACATGTGTCAAATTGTTGAATTGTCAATCTAGATCAATTTGGATCAATCTAAATGGTGATCTAAAAAATATTTAAAAATAAATAATAAATAAAATAGAAGTTATTTGCTTGGATTTAGATGGACCAAAAAAAAAAATACAGGAAAAATTTATGTAGAGCTAAAACAATCAAATTAGAGACTACCTCAAAACTTTCACTAGAAGAGGTTGTTTTGATGCCCAAATATCATCAAATTGATCATCTCGACATAAAGATGCATGAACATGAGAAAAAAATGCAATTCAAATTTTGAGAATAGTGCATCTTGTAATGCATTTTTGGACCGTTAATTTTCAAGATTTTCGAGTTTTCATAGATTTGCTCAATCTACACTATTTTTAAAACTTTAAGTTTATAACTAAAGATGCAAATATAATTTAAGATTATCACAAATTTTTCCAGTATTGAAACCATATTTCTCGACACTATTTGAAGGTAGGCTCTAATTTGATTGTTTAGAGCCTCGGCTCTATACAAACCGCACCCAAACATAAAACATATTAAATCAACTTTAGGGAAAATTGCGAAAACCCTCGAAAATGGACTTTTTACGTACTTTACCCCACTTAAGCTTTCCTAGCAAATAACCCCATACAAAAGTTCTTTTTACGTACTTTACCCCACTCAACCTTTCCTAGCAAATACCCCCATACAAAAGTTCATTTTTTTTTAGATGACATTACCCTTCCCTCGTATCAAAAATTATTTTTATTGGAGAGGGCGGTCCACCATTTTGAATAGGTGGTGCGGCGATTATTTTTGTTGGAATGGCCGGTCCGGCGTTTCATGGTGGCGGTATGGTGTTTCATGATGGCAGTTCCGCAATTATTTTTTACTGGAATGGGCATCCGGTGTTTTGAAGTTGAGGTCCGGCATTTTGAAGGGGTAGTCCGCATTTTGATATGGCTGTCCGACATTTTGGAGGGGCAATTCGGCGGTCCGGTATTTTGAAGGGACAACCTGGTGGTCCGGCATTTTGAAAGGGTAGTTCATCGTTTTGATATTGCGGTCCAACATTTTGAAGGTGCAGTCTGACGTTTTGAACTAGCAGTCCGTGGTTTTGATGTGAGCAGTCCGGCGTGGTACAAATGCAATCCTACGTTTTCTTTTATTGGGATCCGAAAAAATTTGTTACACGAGAGAAGGGTATTTTCGTTTAAAAAAATATATAAGGTTATTTTCTAGAAAAAATGATTTTTTTTTTTATGGGAAGTTGCTAGGAAAAGTTGGGTGACCCATTTTATAGGGTTTTTGTATTTTCCCTGAACTTTACAATACACGTCAATATACACTTTCCGTAAATTAACAACGCTAAAAAAATATTTAGAATGCACGTCATTTTACTCGTGTCAGTTGTTAATGATATTCTTATATCTATTATGTTCGTTTCTTGTGGTCACTTTATTACGCTTTGATTTATGAGAAGATAAGGTATGAGCTAGTCTTTTTATCTTTTCCTTTTTTGAAGGGAACCATAAGAGCTGGTCTGTATCACAGTAATTGTCGAGAGAGATGCTATTGTAGGTCAAATGATAGAGAAATGCCAATGATTTTGCCGGATTCACAATTTTGGTATAAAAATTAATAGGATTATTTTAAAATCTATTTTCATCTCTAATTAT